AACATAATGCGCGCTAGCATACCATACAAAAACAGTTCAATACTTATATTTATGTTTTCTCTGCCTTTTATGGGTTTTTTAACTTATAATTTATATTTAAAATTCAAAATGCCCGCCTTATTGACTGTCCACAAGATTTCGTTCAATAGTTTGAACAGCGTGTTTGTCGCGTGCTGATTGGCAAACACTTCAATGTTATTCCACAATACAATTGCGCATGATGTGTCTATACGGTGATTTAAGTTTATCAATAGAAAGTTAGATTTGAAATTGTTTCGATTTTTCTCCGGAACAAATTTAGCGCATGGATAAATACAGTGAACACCGTAAATCCGACCTTGCCCTCCACGNTATCAGTAGGTCTGTAACATATGTGTCAGTAGGTCTATAGAATATGTGTATTTCAGACATTTGTAACGAACCCCTGTTGATCAGTGCAGTGTAACAGACGATATTTCTGATAAATTGCATGAGCAATAAAATTGTTTCCATTGCCGGCATTGGTGATTTCAACAGATGTGCATTTGTACGATATTGCAGAACTTGGTCTTGTTTTCGTTGTAATAAAAGAGTTTTTTATTTCATTTTTAACTTTGCACATAAATTTACAATGACATTGTCAAATCTCACAATGCCCAGCGATATTTCAGCAGCCGTCATGTTTATTTATATTGGATATTGTAGTTCCGGTCAGTATTGTATTAATACGCTAAGAATTATGTCTCGTGATGCATGGTAATTAAAGTCCCATCAACGACACAGCTTTCAAAGAGGCTAAATAGTGACAATGCCATGCAAATGTAAATATTACTGTTTATTGACATTCTAGCATCATTGTGGAAATTTTCAATCTTGTACGATCGCCTATGGAAAAACAGTCTTACTAATTTAGTCCTGAAGTGAAACTAGTCTGGTATACCACTTACTCAAGTGTCGCTCTGTGATTCGATTTTCGGCAACTTCCTTGCAAAGTTAAAGAGGCTGCTATGTTCTGATTGGCTGTTTGCTTTTCCAGCAATATCTTTCACAGCATGATCAAATTGTTTTCAATGAGGCTGTTGAGTTATGTTCTTATTGACTGATGACTTTGTTGGCAATAATCTTATGACGGATTGATCAGTGCCTGGACAAGTTTCCAATTACTCTCTCGCTTGAGCTTGATATTTATTTGTTTCCGTTATTGATACCCTACATTGATATTGCAATATTTCCCAGATCCTTAGGTTGAAGGCGATCTGTTGCTTCTGATCGGTTGACACATATAGGGCTAGTACTTTTGTTTGATTGATGAAATTTTTCATGAAAGGTGATAAATGGTACTTTGTGGGTAGTGCAAAACGCTGAAAAAAAACTTATTAAAAAAAATCCATAAAGCAAGATGGCTGCCATCGCTTCTGATTTTCCTAAACCATTTAAGATCACAAGCTTTGTCTTCAGGTCTGGTCATACTTGATTGTAACTGATATTTGTCAGACTACAAACATGCATGATGTTGAATTATGAATACTCCTAATTTAACATGATTGCTGAAGCGTATGCTCTGCGAATATTTGGTATATATATGGTCACCACATGGCGGGGCCTTCCTGATCTGCCAGTGTTCTATTTTCGTCTTTGATATACCTGTAGTTGTTTGTTATTTCCGCTCATTTGAGGGAACTCTACAAGTTATATGTTTCTTAATCTATGACTGGAACAATGTTAAATGCTTTTTTGAAGTTTTTGGCTATAGTACCGTGATCCTTGAACAACCAAGAAGAATCTTAATGGGTTATTGGGGGCGTGAATACCACATCAAATATAAAGTAAAATAATACTTAACAAATTCGTTCATTTGGGTCACCAAACAACCATATTTTCCTAAATACACCAAATTATTATCTTATGGAATAAGATAAACAATAATGGTTGTGTTTTTCAAACAAAATATTTTATTGTTTTGAAAGATCAGCAGTGAAGTGCAAAGGATACAATGTTTTTGTTTTAATCTTTTTTTTTCCACGCCGGTAAAAAATGAAACGTCCAAGAGTCTAATCATGTCTGGTGACGACTTACATACTTTTCTCAACTGGTTGCAGAACAATGCGTATTAATATTAATATTGCCCAACGTGTCAACGACAAAACAAATGCACGTATACGGTATAGCGAAAACAAATCGTTATAATTTTAATTGAGACAATTGAAACGTAAATACTTTTACATGTAAAATTAGCTCTTAATATTTATATATTTATTCAATTTAAATTTTTGTTTGCTTAAGTTAGAAGAATGGAATAAGGTGATGTGTATAAAAGTTGTATATGGCCGCAAGGAATCATTTTTTTTGTAAACAAATTCTAAAATTCCATTCGCTATTGAACCAATAAACTGTTAAGATATTGCAGTCGTTAAGAAGGTTACCCCAATATTAGAAATTGGGATCTACTGACACATTAGTACCGGCCAACTTGCAGCCGCCGTTAAGTTGCCCTGTAATACAATCAAAGGTGATTTTACACCTTGAGAGATGACTTCCCAAACCATAACTGATCCACTAAAACCTAGCCCTGTCGAAAACGCATGCGTCGCAAACTCGCAAGACAATCGTATCTTAACGTCGAGCCGTCGGAAGCTGACGACCAGATCTCGGTCGGTCGGAAACGCTCCCAGTCTCCCTCAAACGTCTGCTAAGGCGCTCTGCCAAGCAACCTGTTGCTCCTCTTTACTTCAGTATATGTATATATAGTTATGTCAGCTGGGATAGTTAATTTTCAAAGACTGAAGCTTGTTTTGTTGCACTAATTAACATCACAAAATCAACTAAGATTAAAATGTTGTTAAAGGTCATTTTATTAATGACAAATAGAAATTGTGACAATTTAAGTTCACAATTTTTGAAGATTAGATGAATAATAAACCAATATGAAGTACAATGACTACTATTAGTAATGTAGCAACGAAGGTGGGGTACATAAACTGGCATACAATGATATATAACTGCAAAGGTTCCAAGCTAGACCATCATCACACAAAATTATCCCGAGAAGGCTACCACAGTGAAATCTACAAGTGATGAAGGGGCCGCGTCAGTGTATAAACCCCAGTAGTGCGCGCCGCGCTGATTGGTACAGAAGGGAGTAATGCGTGACGCTGATTGGTCCAGCAGATTACTAACCCACATGCCACATGTGGATCACGAATCCACTAAAGGCCCCAGGCATAGTATAAAAATCAATCAAATAGCAATGACGCGATGGTCACTCATAATCTTACTGTTGGGCTGCATACCAGACGTAAAAGCTTTAGCTCCTTATAATAATTAGAACATTGAAAGCTAAGAGCCTGTACATATCCATGAAGATACAAATATTGAAATAATTATATAATATTTATGGCATTACTAACTAACATAAATACACTTATTGTTACAACAAATTACATATCTGTGGGTATATATCTTTATAGATGGTAGCAGTGTACAGTAGAAATGGCCCGACTCTGATAAACAAGGCACATGTCGAGGAAATGTAAACACAGCGGATTTACCCTACACAACACATGTATACATGTATATATATTTGTAAACTGCATTACATTTACAATACATATAAAGTACTGAGAAGTGTATAAACCTCTTTTTTATATGTATGTCACTTGTGTGAAAACCATGGTTACCACATCATAAATTACCAAAAAAGGCCAACAAATGCTATTTTTAACCCAAAATTTGACCACCGCAACTAGTATTTTTTTTCCTAAGCTCTGTCTGAAATTAAAGATTACCTACCTGGTTGCAGAATTATCTGGGTCCCGGTAAAGTTGTGTCAAAGTTTTACTTCCTGTAAAGCTAGCTTTTCATGTGTACGCACCCTTTCGGATTATGGCCAAATTCTTATCCTCGAACCAAAGAAATCTTCTTTCTTTTTTACAAATGTGAAGCTCACATAGCCCACTTCATCATGCTTATACCGATTTCAGTACAGTTTTATTTTTATATTTTTTTACATACCATTATACAGGGGTTAGCCATTTAACAAAAATATCACCCATGGCCACAACCCTCTACTGTATACTGCTACCTTTATAGATTTATGAACATATTCTTGTTGTGTATGCTGTCATTGCTTTGTTGATTTTTAGGTTGTCACTTAATAGGTAAAAACACTAAATAATGCAGTAAAATAGTAACATCAATTTCTTCCATTTTTCTCCGACTCATTTAAACAAAGATATAAACAAAATCACGAAATCCACGAATGCTTTGTATTGGTATCTTCAGATATCACGTTCAATACTGAAGTTGTAATATTCTCACTATTTACGTAATTGTTATTGGTTTGCTCGAATTAGTTTTATAGTTAACTGCCTCGGCGTTATGCTCTTTGTTCGAAGGGCTGAGTGGACAAGTCCTCATCTTCTCGCTTCGAAGGAGGTTGATACCTATCATTGCTTACACATTTGTATTCCTTCACAAAGCGAGCTCTCTTATTTTTCTTCTTTAGCATTGTTGAAATCGAGTACAATGATTTTCCTGTTTTTTACTGTTTCCAAGTAAAGTGTCCGTTGCCATCAAAATGCGTTTTTTTCAAATTCCGTAGAGACATTTGCATTTTAATCGCTACGATAAACCAGATCAGCTATAATAAAAAAAAACGTTGACTTCAAAGCTTTTCTTATTACAATTGTATGCATATTTGCCCATTCCTCGGTAAACGCTTCAATTATCAGGTTGTTTGATGCTATTTCATTGTGGTCCTAAACGTTCCCTTCTATTCATGAGAACATTTAATTGTATTCTATGATGCGACGACGTGCATAAAGCAGTCATATAATGCGAAGATGATCAGATCGTCCATCATACGTGCAACACGTTTGGAACCTACATTGGGTATAAAGTTTAACTTTGATACATATATATTTCCAAACTAGCGATTCATTTTGAAGATACTGTCAAAGATACATTTTCGTTCACACACAGATTTCGGGATGAAAAACAAATATCATTAAACAATTTCCAACCTCTTTTATTTAAAAAATGAACATTAGCAAAAATAATTTCATCAGTGATTTTCAACATCTATAACTGGCAACGCTACAAAAAATGATGATGGGACTGGGCCGTTGTCAGAACAATAGCGCATGTGAGCCGTCTCTCCCAATGTGGTTAGGTGTTAACGAGAGTTCTTACTTTCAACAACAACAAAACGGAAAACATATATTAGTTGTAAACGAATACAACGGAGTTGTTTTCATAATTATATACCTTACGAATTTATTTTATCGGTGTGTGTTTAGACGTCATATTGTGGCAGAATATTGCGTTCTTCAATACTTTACCGATAATAAATACTTTATACCATTGGTAAAAATTAAAAAAGGTTCAGTATCAACTTCAAAAATAACTGTATAATAATTATTTCTATTTTAAATAAAATGATCATTAAAAAAGTCGTCAAACTCCCCGTGTATTTAAATTATTCGCATTGTCACATCATGTCCATGTAACATAATTTATTTTTGACACAGCTTCCCATTCAGAGGAAATTCTATCATCCATGGCCAGCTATGTGAAATAAACACGATTCCATACAGTACGTAGCTGTGATACAATAATGAAAAATGACATGAATTGTGTTACAGTAAGGCAAAGTCAATATAACAACTTACTGGGATATCATATGTGATATTACACGGTAAGTATTTCTTTTCTTCATCTAACGTTTCAAAGACTAATGCAACGTACAAATACAAGAAACAAACTCGAATGCTTTGAATACAGGGTTTCCATGACAATAAAATAGTCAAATCGAAATAAATTACGCACATTCGAAAAATAGCAACGCACTAATATCCAAGTTAACTGGGATATCATCTTAAACCCGCAACTGACAAAAGGAAAAACAATTCACAAGGTTGACAACCATTGTGAGATGTAAGGCTATACACAAATGCGCAAACGAACCTCGTAACCATGACAAAAAGCCTAATCATTATCTATAATAGATAACAGCAAATTCACCAGGATGGCATGTACGTTTAGAGTTGCCTAAAGTAGCCAACTATTGTACAGGCAGATATGACGTCAAATAGTAAGTATTGACAATCATATTTTCACAAAATACCAAACCCCGTCCAGGTCAACAGTGATTTGTGACCCATTCACTGACCCCTTAAGTAATCTACATTGATCAGACTTGACGTCCAACAGGAAACTGTCGCATTCCGGTTGTCTGTAACACTTTAAGCCACACAGTCCTTGGTTCGATGCGTCCGTGTCCAGGAGAATAGAAAGTACGTCACCAGTGGATCCAAGCTTGGCTCCCCAGCGATGACATGTACCTGTTCAAATACATATTGTCCCATCATACAAAGCATGGAATTCTATTATTCTTCACGTAAAATCAATAATAGTGTGCAACCCACCCCAACAGGGGAGGGGGGGGGGCGGGGGGTCCTGCTACATCTCACTATTTGTCGTAAAAGAACACAGTGAAAAAGCCAAACTTGATCCGCTGCTGGGATATACCAGTCCTTATCAATAATAAATGTTACTTTTAAATGTGCTAAGTTTGAATGCTTAGTGTTCTGTGGTTTAATCTGGATTCTTCTCGAGTGGATGATATGTGAACGGTAGAGGCCGTTAGAGACTTTTTGTCTGAAACTCGATGGGATGAAAGATTTACACATAGAACACTGGCAATACATCTTACACATATACTACATTATCAAAATCTTCTAGCTGAATTGCCTCATTTTATTTTTTCATATTTTGATGTTGTTGTATCCCTTACTTTTTATCACTCCTACCAATGATATATATATTGATACTAAATGGTTCTATACTTCTAACTACTTCATGCAACAGCAGCAGGGTATGAACAGGGGGCACTAATGACTTGCAAAACAAAAAACAAAAAAAAAAATGTAGCAATTTCTCTGTTTAATATATCATTAGGGCATTGCTTTCCTATTACTAATTAATTATGATTGACTTTTTAATATGAGCATTGTATAGCTAAAAATATCAATTAAATATTTATATGTAATTGAAACATACATGGAATTATCTCCCCTATACCATCTGCTATATATATATATATGTCTATGCTACCTATTATATATGATTTGCATCAATATTTTCTTACAAACCATTTCATTCATCTTTGTCTTTGTCATGTCAACCTAAGGAGAGAACTTATATAGGCCTAGCCTGCTGTTCAATCCTATTGTTTACTCAATAAAATATGATGAAATAACAAATAAATGTTACTTAATTTTCAGCACTAAGGGTAATGGCAACAACTAGGCTACCCGTTGTCAGTTTAATGTGATCGGGTAGAATATCGTGCTGGATGCTTTCGGCATGGTATTTCAGAGAGGTATACTTCAGGTATACCAAATTTGGAAAATAATTCTAATTAATTCAAATACCGGTGAAAGTCACATACATCAGCTTTCCTTCATATTCTTATCATCAAATTCTCCTGTTGAAAAATTGTTACATCTTTTCTTAATTTACACATAATTCAATATTATTGTCAACATATTAAATTTGGTTTCTTTTTCAAAATTTGTTAAAAAGTACAAAAGCAAGGTAAATTTTCTCCTTTTTTTTCAAATGGAATACGTATGTATGATGTCAAAATGGAAAATAGAAACATTTACATTAGGTAAGTACCTGGCAAGCACATTAATAAAAGAAAACAATTATTTTTTTCATCTAATTTGATAAAGAACTTCAAAATCACAAAAACAGTACAATTTAGAATGAATCAGTTTCGCAGGAAAAAAAATCAGAAAATGAAGTTGAGTTCGAAAATCAATATACATGTATTGCATATGTTCAGCTTGTGCAGGAGATTAAACTTTGATTGATTTTATAAATTCAACAACAATAAACGAATGAAAAAGTGCAAAACATTATATAATTAAACATTAGTAATCGCATTATGTCAATACTAATGACAGAATACATACTGCTTATTTCTGAGTACGGACAGCCCTGAACCTCCAGTCTCATTGATCCGTGGGAATGCATAGAGACGGATATAACCCGGATGTACTTGGCGATCACAGTTCCTTCTAGTTCATTGGTCACGACTGTATTTCTGTCGGAGTTTCCGGGAAACACCTTTATAAAGAAGGGAGGATACTTAATCATATATCATTATTATAGTGAGCCCATGATTACTCTTAAATCTACCACATCCTCGAGGTTACGAAGCTTTCCATCGGTTAATAGCCATGCTTTGTTTGGCGATATATCATGCGCTTGCATATATTATTTTCCAACAGACCAACACTTCCAAAAACCTCCAATGCAAATCTAAACAAGTGGTCAACGCAATGATTTCATTTGTCGAATGAAGGGTACAAAACTTTAATTTTAAATTTAATAAATGAGTTGCTAGCAGACAAACAAACATGATTTATTCAATTTCTAAATCTACTTAAAACCTGTCAGGCGCATAGTCAGATTGTTCCGTTGAACTACTCTGGAAGGTGACTTAAAATGGCGTTTGTAAATCTGTCAATTGCTGATTGAATTTGTTGACCAGCGATGTCGATAGATTAGAGGATTATATTCATTGAAATAAACATCTCGTATAAAGCATGACGACAGTGATTATTGTTTATCGTCTGTCGACCAAATGGCGACTGTTAATGAATAATCAGCATCCTATTAACAGGAACGGTCAGTCGTTCTGTAATGGGTGCAACGTTTACATGGGTGCTGGAGGCAGTAAGTTTGTGTATTTGACTCTGTGCGATAGCGCAGGTTGAATGCCTCCTTCGGAGTACCTAACTCATGGCTTTCCGAATGCACCCTGGATAAATCTCTCCTTACAATTACTTTTTACGGACTTATGTTGTGTCTCGGTCAGGGGCAGAGCCCATAGTCTTCCTCGCTTCGGCGAACGCTTCAACACCAAGGCGAACATAGAGGCCTTGTCAGGCGATTTTACTGGACAAATATCCCTAACGACCACTCAATTTGTCCCTGTGGTATATCTTATCATTTCCTTTTGGAAAACGTTGGAATCCTGGAACATTTCCAAATCAGTACATTGGCTACTGCTTGATCTACTTCCTTTATGTTGATAAAAGCCAAATGTACATAGCCTTGAGCTAGAGGAGAAACCCCTGGTATACCGGCAGTAGTTACCCGGATCATGAGGTTTCGAGGGCGTTTCTGTATCTATTTCCAAAACCCTTAGATTCGGAGAAAGAAAAGGCCTGCTGCATCCAAATGTACGTTATCATAGGTGGCGACTAATTGGGGACTTTCTGCAGGTTTGGTTTGTTTGTGTTTTACGTCCTATTGACTGCTATGGTCATTTAAGGACGTGCCAGGTTTTGGTGGTGGAGCAAGGCCGAACTACCCCGGAGAAGGCCATTGGTCTACGGCCAGTACCTGGCGACTGCCACACGTAGGCCTCGAACCCGCGACCCAGTGGTTGAGGGCTAGCGGTAGCAGAATGTCAGACGCCTTAACCAGTTGGCCACCGCGGCCCCCTACTTTCTGCAAAATATTGTTGTTTCTCGGAGACTGTCCTACGTGCCCTTTCATCTTTGGCACTGTCTCCCCTGACAACCGCCTCCATGTGACCTTATCATATGCAAGAACGTTTAACACTGAGACTAATTTCATTGGCTCTGCTTTTGATTAGTTAACTAGCATAAATAAAATACAAATAATTGTCAACATACACAAATATGGAACAAACTGACACACATCTTTGGTTGTCAAGTTTTTTAGTTTATCATCATTTTGAAATTGTAACTTAGGTTTATAAGTTTCGTATAGTTTTCAAGATATGAAATTATTTTCCTCTAAAAAATCCATATTTTAGAAAAACAGAACAACTCAACCATCTGTAGATTTGCATAGCTGCGCATGACCTTAAATGGGCATTGTTACCTGTACATCGCCTGTAGAGTTCGATAAGGATGTCCAGGTGATTCCGTCCATACTGATGTTGACACTGTACAAAGACACCCACTGACTATAGTCTTCCCTTCCCTTAGTCTGTATTGCCTTCAGCATTGAGACTGATCGAAACTCCACCTGTGTTTGTGCACGACAAGAGACTATTATAAGTAAAAACAAATGCATTTATGATAATGCACCATGAACTAAAATGGCCGTAGCCTGGTACATATAGTTGGAATTGATTCTGCCGCGGTTCCCATTAAATGCTAGTTTAAATATAAAGTAGCTGTTGTAATCACATGTTGTTTATTTGGTTAATGGGGATTTAAAAAGATCTTCTCTTTATCTATTTTTTGATGAATTTCATTATACCTAAATCGCCGACGAAATAGACATTTGATACATTGTCAATATTTACCTAATGCTAATACGGCTTTCTGAATCCATCTATTGGTTTATTGAAAATGTGTTTTCTTACTGTATCCGTATTTTAATAGTGATTGTAGTGGGGGTTTTTCCATCTTTTGTTCTAAATTGATTGACACTAAGCAAAAGTTTAAAACTATTCTGGAATAACTCAAGAATGTAAATATCATATATAACGTAGTGTTTTACTAAAAGAAATAGTGAAACTAAGAGGGAAGTTATACGTAAATAATGCCTTATAAGACTAGGAAATAGTACTAAATATATATTTAAAATATTCTTGAAAAAAATATATATCGCTCCGTATGATTTAAAAGTTCGGTGTTTTACTAGAAGAAATATAGATGTCATTTGTAAATAATATTCATCATCACTTGAATAATATCCAGCATTACCTGTAAATACTGTCCAGCATTACCTGTAAAAAGTGTCCGACCCCAGAATAAAGTGGACACCAGCTTCTGGAACTGCTGAATCTGGCTTTCACTATAGGACAATCACGGTGAGTAGTTGACGCTGTAATTGCATCGTCCGACACGCCGTAGGGTCCGGTCACCAGGTCGTATTGACAAGGACCACATCCAGCTGAAACGTTTAAATTACTTTTATATGGGAAACATTTTTTTAAAGATCCCCGTACAGCTACCAAAACTGAATATACCTTGGAAACCTGTCTTCATGACTACATCTTCATTTCTGCAAAGAAAATCGTACCTTGCGGGACTTCTGATCGAAAAAATGACAAAGACGAAATTAATTGAAATTAACAACACTGTTCTGAGTGAAAAACAAATAACGCAGCTAGACTCGGAGTCGAAGCCTGTAACTCAAATCGATATAAGTCTACTGTCGATGTAACCAACTGAGATTAAGAGTCGAAGCCTGTAACTCACATCAATATAAATCTACTGTCGATGTAACCAACTGAGACTAGGAGCCTGTAACTCACATCGATATAAGTCTACTGTCGATGTGACAAATGGAGACTAGGAGTCGAAGCCTGTAACTCAATTCGATATAAGTCTACTGTCGATGTAACCAACTGAGACTAGGAGTCGAAGCCTATAAGTCACATCTATATAAGTTTAATGTCGATGTTACCAACTGAGACTAGGAGCCTGTAACTCACATCGCTATAAGTCTACTGTCGATGTCACGAATTGAGACTAGGAGCCTGTAACTCACATCGATATAAGTCTACTGTCGATGTTGCCAACTGAGACTAGGAGCATGTAATTCACATCGATATAAGTCTACTGTCGATGTTACCAACTGAGACTAGGAGTCGAAGCCTGTAGCTCACATCTATATAAGTTAACTGTTGATATTACCAACTGAGACTATGAGCCTGTCGATGTAACCAACTGTGACTAGGAGTCGAAGCCTGTAACTCACATCGATATAAATCTGCTGTCGATGTAACCAACTGAGACTAGGAGCCTGTAACTCACATCGATATAAGTCTACTGTCGATGTAACCAACTGAGACTAGGAGTCGAAGCCTGTAGGTCACATCTATATAAGTTAACTGTCAATGTTATCCACTGAGACTAGGAGCCAGTAACTCACATCGATATAAGTCTACTGTCGATGTAACCAACTGAGCCTCCTTGTCAATGAAGGCGCCCTGGTCAAGTTGCGCTATATTTACTTCCATAACGAAATATGAGAAAGGTTACTTTATATACGAAACAACACAGTAGAACCCCTTATGTTTACCTCGAAGGAAAATGAGGTCCTTCATTGATTCCTTACAATTGGGTTAATTCCGGATATGTTTTTTTATTAATATTTTGAGTCAACTAAGAAATTGTGCATTGTGTTGAACTTCTCTATAATGACTGTACTGACACAATTGACACATGTTATCCGACAGTTGTACGGCTATCGATTTCACTAGACACCCGTATGTACCATCGAGTTGGTAAATTAATTACAACATTGGTCCAATCAGCACATTAATACGAAATATTTTTTTAAATACTGGTCCACTTAACACATGTATGGCAAAACGTTTTATGATATAAAGCGCACTAGTCACGTATATGCCACTCACTTGAAAGTATGACGCTTAATTAAGCAGTTCATGTCGGATTTGTTTCAAGACCAGCTCAAAACATCACCCAATGAAATTGACCAAGCCAAGATTCAAACCTTATATTTCAATCAACGTGTGTGGTTTTTTTCAATAATTTCCATTCAGATATTTTCTGGAGCTTGTGCAAGTCTAGGTATTAATTTCATATCTTCTGACGAGCCATCGCGGGAGAATAATGTCTAGATGCGGTGCGCAACCTCAGCTGCGTGTCTACGGCAGCCATCTTTCTAATAGCTCTAAGTGACAGAAAACCAGACGTGGCTTGAAAGGATGAAAACAATTTGATATGGCATTTGGATGTTCGACTGCATTTCTTATAAGACGGGACCATATGGATTTACGTTGTTTTTTATTTGTACCTGGGGTTGATACTGACACAAAAGGCAGAATGGGTAGCTGGAGAGAGTATTTCTAGGGTAGTAGATGACTTGCCACTACCGCTAGCAATCGTAAGCTGATAATATTTTGCTGGTTGATCGTTTTTGGTTGTTTGATCAATTCCTTGTGAAGCTTCAATAAAAATGTAAAATCTCATCAAGTTGTATCTTCTTTGTTTAAACATGTCAACTTAGTTATCTCCCTTCGCAAAATCCTACGCACAGGCAATGTTAACCCGGTCAAATTCATCGGCAAATGAACAGGTTACATTTGGTAGTTGCAGTGATTCCAACTTGAGTAGGAATTGAAATATTTGTATGTATATGCAATTGAGGACACTATATGTGTTCAATGCCTCCACTAGGAATCGAATCTGATATCTCTGGTTTACTAGTCTGACGATCTACAGAATGCGCCTGACATTTATCTCGCTCTAGCCCAGTAGGCAGGAGACAGCTAGTACTTTACCAGTGTGACATATAAACATAAACAATAAGAGAATTCAAGTATAAGATACATATAAATAAGATGAATGCAGGAATTAGAAATACCATTACCTGTCGATGGAGATCCGCTCCAAATATCTAAAAACAAAATCCTATCCTACCAGGAATAGTACCTACATTGTATATCGTTTGCGTGTTAGGTTTACTTAATATTTTCACTCATAAGTTCACAAGCGGTCTCAAGTATTTTTACAACCGCCAAATAAATCATTATGAGTCGGTTATTGAGCCGTTACAGATGCATTCCACGGAGAGAATCGTCAACGAGATTAAAATCGTATATATTGTACAGAGGTTACCAATGTACGAAATTGATAAAACAATTGCTAAAACATAAAATTCAAGAATGTATATAAACAACTTACCAAAGGACAAAATCACCATTGATAGGAGAATAACAATGTGTAGCATGCTCTCCGTCGTATGGATCCTAGGCCAATGTCCTGTAGAGTTCGATTTAGCAGTCGGTTGTGCAGAACAGTTATGGAGAAAATGATTTTGTGACGTCATTTCCGAGTCGGTGCCAATTAGGAGTGTTTGGCTTTAGTAGCGAAGCGATAATAACAATGAAAAACGCATGATAATGGCAATGTTTATCTAACTTGTAAGCTTATGGGCAGCTGTATCATCTTCCTAATGGCATTTGTTTAACAATGGAAGTTGTTTATTTACCTGTGTTTCCCTTCCCTTTCCTTTAATTCTCAGGGAGTGATTGATAACTATAGATAAAATTCATACGCAGAAATCAATATTCTGTAAACAACCGTGTTGTAAAATCTTCTTGTCCAATCTTGAGGTCGTCGCCTGACATGAATAAATGAACGCCACAGCTAGGATGTATCGATACTGTCTGTCAATATTTCCTTTACGTGTCACGTTTGTCTTAATCACACTTTAGATAAAGCCTCTTGTAAAAAAGAGAGAATGTTAGTTTTATGACCCGAACATAATATTTATCACTACTTATTAAAATTTTATTATCAAATAAATTGTAAGAATTGTTTTGGGGGAACAGATTTATATATGTTGCAATTATTACTGTGTACCTGGACATTTTCGTTGCCGCGGTTCCCATTTCATAATAGTTTATAGATATAGTATATGGTGTAATCATACTTTGCTTATTTGTTATGGTAAACGGGGATTTATAGTCACTTTCCCTTTATCTGTTTTTCTAAACATATTTCAGAGCACATTGGACATGAATTTCATTAGATCTAAGTCGACGACAAAAAGCCATATATATGTCAATATTTACATGAAATGGCCTTTTAAATCGACTCTGTGGTTTATTGAAAACGTTTTATGCATACTGCGTCCGTATATTAGTATTGGTTGTAGTGGTTCAATTTGTTCTTTTTCTTTTTTTGTAAAATAATGGCCACTTAGCAAAAGTTTAAAACTATTCTGGAATAACTCAGTAATATAAATATTATATATCACTCAGTCTTTTAATACAGTGAAATCCAAAGAGAGGTTACACGTCATTATACAACCGGGAAATGGATTTACGTTGTTTTATATTTGTACCGGGGGTTGATACCGACACAAAAGGCATAATGGGTAGCTGGAGAGAGTATTTCTAGGGTAGTAGATGACTTGTCACTACCGCTAGCAATCGTAAGCTGATAATATTTTGCTGGTTGATCGTTTTTGGTTGTTTGATCAATTTCTTGTGTAGCTTCAATTAAAATGTAAAATCTCATCAAGTTGTATCTTCTTTGTTTAAACATGTCAACTTAGTTATCTCCCTTCGCAAAATCCAACACACAGGCAATGTTAACCCGGTCAAAATCATCGGCAAATGAACAGGTTACATTTGGTAGTTGCAATGATTCCAACTTGAGTAGGAATTTAAATATATGTATGTTTATGCAATTGAGGACACTATATGTGTTCAATGCCTCCACTAGGAATCGAATCTGATATATCTGGTTTAATAGCCTGACGCTCTACCGAATGCGCCGGACCTTTTTTTCGCTATAGCCCAGTCGGCAGGAGACAGCTATTATTTTACCAATGTGACATATATACATAAATAATAAGATAATTCAATTATAAGATACATATTAATAAAATGAATGCAGGAATTAGAAATACCAGTATCTGTCGATGGAGATCCGCTCCAAATATCTAAAAACAAAACTATCCTACCAGGAGTAGTACCTACATTGTATATCGTTTGCGTGTTAGGTTTACTTGATATTTTCACTAATAAGTTCACAAGCTGTCTCAAGTATTTTTACAAATTTCCTACGCCTCAGGATTTTATTTTTTATTTTGACTTCTAGGTCAACCACAACCGCCATATAAAACATTATGAGTCGGTTATTGAGCCGTTACAGATGAATACCATGAAGAGAGTGGTCAACGAGATTAAAATGGTAAATATATTCTACAGAGGTTACCAATGTACGAAATTAATGAAACAATTGCTAAAACATCAAATTAAAGAATGTATATAAACAACTTACCAAAGGACCAAATCACCATGGATAGGAGAATAACAATTTGTAGCATGCTCTCCGTCGTATGGATCCTAGGCCAATGTCTTGTAGAGTTCGATTTAGCAGTCGGTTATGCAGACAGTTATGGAGAAAATGATTTTGTGACGTCATTTCCGAGTCTGTGTCAACAATAAAAAACCGCATTATAATGGCAATGTTCATCCAACTGGTAAGCTTAATGGGCTGCGGTATCATCTTCCTAATGGCATTTGTTTAACAATGGAAGTTGTTTATTTACCTGGGATTCCCTCCCCTTTCCTTTAATTTTAAGGGAGTGATAAAATTCATACGCAGAAATTAATATTCTGTAAACAACCGTGTTCTAAAATAGCAATTATTACTGTGTACCTGGACATTTTCGTTGCCGTGGTTCCCATTTCATAATAGTTTATAGATATAGTATATGGTGTAATCATACATACTTTGCTTATTTGTTATGGTAAACGGGGATTTATAGACACTTTCCCTGTATCTGTTTTTCTAAATATATTTCAGAGCACATTGGACATGAATTTCATTAGATCTAAGTCGACGACAAATTGCCATATATATGTAAATATTTACATGAAATGGCCTTTTAAATCGACTTTGCGGTTTAACGAAAACGTTTTATTCATACTGCGTCCGTATATTAGTATCGGTTGTCGTGGTTCAATTTGTTCTTTTTTGTAAATCAATGGCCACTTAGCAAAAACTATTCTGGAATAACTCAGTAATATAAATATTATATATCACTCAGTCTTTTAGTATAGTGAAACCCAAAGAGAGGTTACACGTAATTATACAATCGGGAAATAGTTTTAAATACATAAAATATAACTATATATATCGCTCCGTATGTTTTAAAACTTTGGGTTTATTTTTACTACAGGACATATTGAACCAAAAAGGGGAGTTTAATGTCAATAAGGTCTGATATAATCTATAAATAGTGTTTCATTATAGCTTGAATAATGTCCAGCTTTACCTGTAAATAGTATTTCATCATCACTTAAATAACATCCAGCATTACCTGTAAATAATGCCAGCATTACCTGTAAAACGTCTCCGACTCCAGAGTGAAGGAGATACCAGTGACTGGAACTGCTGAATCTGGCTCTGTCTATAGGACAATGGCTGTGAGTAATTGACGCTGAGAAAACATCGTCGGACATACCGTGACCAGATCGTTTTCACAAGGACCACATCCTGCTGAAAGGTTTTCATTTCTTTGATGGGTAACTAAGATTCGGTGTGGTCGTGGTCCGTACTACTGCCAAAACTGTGACTAAGACCACCCATGCGTTGTGTTGAACTTCTTTACAAGGCAACTAGACAAATTTCTATACATATATACGACAACTGACCCACTTGACATATGTTATCGGACAGTTGTAAGTTGTTGTTTTACTAGACACCCACCTGTACCATACATTTGTACGCCTATTAATTTCACAAGACACCCGCCTTTACCACACAGTTTAATGGCCATTGTTTTTCTAGACACTCAACTGTAACATGCACTTGTATGGTTAATCTTTTACGAGACACTCACCTGTACCATACAGTTGTACGGCTATTGTTTTCACCAATTAAACGTCATTGTAGTATTATATATTGCTTTAATTGTGAAGCACTACGGGATTGTCTCCTTTGTTTGAACAACGTAATATTTTGACTAATAAGTTCACAAGCGGTCTCAAGTACTTTTACAAATTTCCTACGCCCAGGAAAATTTCAAAAAAATGACTTCTAGATCAACCACAACCGCCATATAAATCATTTAGAGTCGGTTATTGACTCACCTGTTTTACCAATTACACGTCATTGTAGTATTATATATTGTGAAGCACTACGGGGTTTTCTCCTTTATTGAACAACGTAATATCATATACTGACACTACACATTGATATTACTATTAATTGACATTCTTTCATGCAGGTTTTCGCCTTAAGTTTGTACGTTCGCCTATGAAAAAAGAGTCTTACCAATTAAGTCTTGAAGTTCAATGTTGCATTTCATTATCTACTCCACAAGAAAAAAAGAAACGTTACCTGTTATATCAATGGTTTGTTTTATACACAAACAGTGTACGTATCAAACGTGTTGCAACGTTTCAAGACCAACTGGTCGCTTTGTTAAGCTATGACTGAGTGAGCGATTTGTACTGTGTACCTGTTCAATGGTGATGGAATTGTATAGTTTATGTCACTCGACCCGAGGCGTTTCGCCCATCAATATATCAATATCTATATGAAATAAACAATTTCGGCACAGCGTTTTGTGCAAATGATTTGCTTTTATATGTTTTATGCGTGACTGTATATGGTTTAGCCACTTACAGGCGACTAGTTGAACAATCTTTTAATGATCATGGCTAATAAAAGCCTGTTTCATCGACAGCGTAGCCGCATATGACAGTCCTCTTTAGAGGTATTGAGATGTGGTCTGACACACCTGGGATTGTCAGTTGTCGACCCAGTGCGTCAAAACGGATGGGTCGTCATCACAGAGCACTTGATACATTGCGCAACATGACTTTTTAATTCACCAAGGTCATCTTGCTATTTGTGATGGTTTTGTTTCTACATGAGGTCATATCAATGAATCTTTTTACTGAGTATGTATGTATATTCTGTTCTATAAAATCGTTATTCCGGCCTCTGTTTTAACACAAAGGGTAGGATTTCATCTCTATGTATACATTGAGATAATGGTTTCCTATCTATTTATAAACTGTCATGAGGTATTCCATAAATGATCAGTACAACGCAACAGATGCACTGCTTTACATGAGCGTATGATACGTCTAATGTTGGTCCGATTTAGATTCTTGTGATTCTGTTGTTTCGTTATCACCTACTACGGGATGTCTTTCCCATTGCAGGCAAAACGCTACAGAAATCCGTTTGTTTTTTGGGTTTTTTACATTGACTGATCTCTCCTCAATAAGCGTCTTAGGGACGATCCGTCCGTCTTTCCCTTGTTACCTCCGACATATCATATGAAGGAAATGTCGGATTTTATTAAACCCGGCTGATGAACTGCTTACCCAAGTTCCTCTCTCAGGTTTGATGACCGGCAATTTCTACACATAATTAATGAGGCAGCTGACTTCTGATTTGCTGATTGCTAAAGCTGCTGAATTAGTATTGCTAAAACATGATGTCTTTAGAAAGAATCATCTATTTTGATACAACGTGCTTGGTATACTATAATTCGAAATTTTCACTGGGGTTTAAGACATTCCAGAAATATTTAATTCTGGTTAGTAATTACTTTACATACAATACTTATGACAGAATGGTCGGATTTTGTTTTAAACTTGCAAGATATACTATAGTGTTCTAATATTCTTACTGGGGTTTGTTGTTCGACATCTTCCGCACATATTTTATGATACTTCTGCATTCTCATTGGTTGTTTACTTTCTGCCCATTCGTTTATGACAGAATGTTTGGATTTCGATTAAACTTGCCTGGTATTCCACTTACTCAATTTTCTCTCTTGGAATTTAATTTTGGCGCATACCTTGCATATTTAAATATCTTTTGTTAACAATGGTTTAAATTGTTATCAATATTTGTTGGTGTTCTACTTTTAAAATATTCCGTGTAATTGCACAAGTTTGTAATAAAATGCTTCATCCTGCTTGTTGATTACTTTCTGTTCAGTGTCTTATAAGTGAATGATTGGATATTGATAAAACTTGCCGGGTATACTTTTGGCCCAGATTCAATGTTTGGCAAATTCCTTACACATATTAAATGAGGGTTCTAGATGCATTCTTTTTTGTATTTTGCTTTCTATGCAACATCTTTCTACAGAATCTATGGATTTTGATCAGACTTATGATTTGATTCAGAAAATCACCATTTGTTGTATGCATTATGTTTTCATCGGTAATCGATCGACAACTAGTCCCCGTTTAGTTGCAACAAGTCACCAAAGATGCGCTTACTAGTCACCATCACCACATTTCCTAGACCCTCAAGTTGAAGGTGACACCTGATATGTGGCTCTTAATTGGTTGACTTAGGCATTGAACTGTTACCAGATGCAGTATACAGTCGATATGAATGCAATTTGGATGACAGATAAATAGAATGTCGCCCGTTTGTATATAGTTTGTCTTGTATAGTAACTGAAGCAAAAATACGTTTGAATTTCCCGCTTATCATATCAGTGACGTCAGTAAGTTCAAACCCAGAACAGCCGAAATTTCCAGAAGAAATAATATAGTCCCTCGTGTCATTGAAAAACCACACGCACATAAAATGGTTTGAATACAAACTTAAATTTATTATTTATTTCATATCAGTGTATATGTTAAAAAAAATTGTTAATAATTGCATAACTTCTGCTTGTTTAATTTTAAAGCTGTTTTTCGCGCATTGATAGATTACATGCATTTTGAAGTGATGCGGTGCTGAACGGACTTGATTGTTTCCTCGGAAACGCTTATGTTTCCATCGACTAGAATATTACGTCATTTTCAGAAGCATACATACTCGGAATTTTTTAACTTTAGTGGTCCTTTCAGTAGGTGATAACGATTCCAAGGACATTTCGTTTGAAACAGATTCGATGTCTAATCGTTCAGATTAGTATCGCTTGCAGACGACGTTCACAGGAGCTCGGTTTCGTGATTTTGAGTAATGGATGACATCACTGAAAAACCACAACACTTAAATAGGTATTTATACACATTCTAAAACCTTGTCGATACCCTCGACTTTCACAAGGTTTTATAAATGCTGAATTTTAGTGTTGTGGTTATTCACTGCTGTTATGCATAACTCAAAATCTCGAAAACGAGCCCCTGTGTGATGACGTTGACACACTTGGTAATATCGTATTTAGAATGGCGCTTACAATAGGTTTGTGGTACCTACACATTTCATAATAAATTTATATTGTTATAATTTGTCAAGTTGCTTTAGTTTTTGCGATGACCTACATTGCTAAATGTTAACGAACCTATTGATATCGGATGTGACTGGCGGCCATGTTTGTTTACCTTGTACCAGCTGTATTCCTACACTGGC